GGGAGCATTGGATCCGTTCCAAGATCACGCCCGATCGTCCGGCAAGTCCGGCAAGTTGCGCAGTAATTCTCAGTAGATTAGAGACGCAGAGAAACTAATTTATGGGGGTTGAAATCCTGCTTGCCGGAATGCCGGGTGTACATCTGTGTATAGAAAGCCGCGTGCACGTGTATATTCATGGATATGCATCTATATGTTATATAAGCAGAAACCCGTGCATATGTATTTATACGTGTGTGTATGTGGAAACATGGGCAGCGTACATGCTACTGACCTATTAGAAACGGTGTTTTCCGCCGTTTCGTCCGTGTACGTTTAAGTGCTCCAGCTAAATCGGATACGAAGCCTTTATGAGACGCGCGTAAAATTCGAGCGGTATATGAACCGTAGAACAAGGCGTTAATTTCGCCGCCAAAAGATCTGGGAACTTCTCTTCGGCTTCTGAAAGCAACGTGCTGCTGGTTTCGCGTGTATGGTTTAAGATTGGTTCTTAGAACGATAAAGGAAGCGGTTGCTTTAAAAATAGCGTAAACATTATTAGCGGTGAGGGAATTATAGAAAAGCAACTCTTGAAAAGGTCGATGTTGGAATTGGTAAGAGAATAAAGGAATGTTAAGTTACTTTTGTGACTGTGGAATAATTTTGTGAACGAAAGGACTTGACACAGAGAAGTCGGTATATTTATGCTTATTGATTATGAACATGTGAACACCTTGAATTGATAACTGGAAAGTTCATCTTTAATTGTTAAACTATGATTATATCTAAAGCTCTATTAAACTGAGAAAAGGCGGAATGCTAGGAAGTTTCACGTTACTTCTTAGAATGTCTGCATTAGCGTCTTGATGGCTAGCACCGTTACACAGCACGAAACAAATGAGCGAATTAATCTTTAAATGATACGCGCACTTTTTCTTTATGCGCGCGTTGGGGAATTCTAACGCGGCCCGCTAACCAGAAGTCATTCCAGTGTGAACATAATAAAGAGACTCGCTGAAATCCGGCGCAGACGACAGCGCCATACGTGTCTGAAAGTGTGAAATTAATTGGCAGTAAATTTCCTTGGGCTTTCATTTCGAGTGCTCTATTCAGGCGTTCTATTCAAAATAGGAGTGTATGAGCAGAGCCTGGCACAATGGCATCTTAGGCATACAGATCGGATTGAAGTGGCTTGTGTTTGCCTACGCATGCGGAATACAAGCAGCAATCCACCGCGCATATTCACTTATTTAAAGCGGGATTAACCGTTAACGGGATAATAAACTGATGAAAATGCAATTTTTGCCCGCGACATGTTTCGTTGTTTCATCATTCGCCCGAGGAATACTGCGAAAACAAAAACACATACGGGTATTTCAGGTAACGATATTTTTTTCGTTTTCGCCGAGCTCCGGTAACAAAAATAGTGTGGTATTGGTTGCGATGCAAAAAAATTTGAAAGATCGTATTGCGATACCCGTGCAAAAAAATAAAATTCCTTCCGTCTCTTTAGCAGATCCGCGAAATGGATGTGTCTATCACATTTTTTGAAAAAAGAATATTAAATTTTAATACAATGCGTCTTGTAACGGGTAGTTCAACTGACAAACCGTGCCCTGGAAAAATTGAATTTGAATACATTCGGTCGGCAGTTAGGCAAATGCAGACCTTCTCGACAAGTTTAAATTGAATTATGTATCTCAAGAACGAAATTCTCGCCAAAAAACTTTGATTCTACGCTTTTCACTTATGTTTTTCATTTAGAATGACTTTCTATCAGTTATATAATTCACGTTCAATCTATTCAACCAAGTAACGATTCCGACAACGTTACTGAAAAATTTTCAATCCCGATTTTCCCAAAAACGACACCTCAAACGAAGAAACTGTATTCTATATACTCAACCTTATTCGCACAGAATCACTTCGTAGTTACATCACAGTTTATAAAATACGTTGTATATTAACAAAATATATATTAACGAAAAAGAATCTGATATGAAAGGTTTCACAGAGCAGCGCAGAAAGCTTTATATGAATTAATCGCATCGAATCGATTGCCTTAAACAAGATAGAAAGCGTGCGTGCCGAGAAAATAGCTGACCTCCCGCCTTATTCCGTGCGAACTCCGCCCCAACTCCTTTGTAATCCCAGCACGCGAATCGAATTTAAGAAAAGCCAACGGCGGGAAGTTCGCCAACCGGCTAGTCAAGTTTCGGTTGGATTAGCGATATACTACGTGATCATTGAGCCGGCATCCACGCGAGGGCCCCATCCGCCAGAAAACAATTTACAAAACGTCAAGTGTCTATTGAATGGTTCTACATTCATCGGATCGTACCTATACCACGTTATTCGATGAACAAATCGAAACTCGCTTCCTACGAGAATCCACTCGAATCGAACATCGCTTTCGACCCGGCGATACATTCCACTGCTTGTGAAAACGCTCAACGGGCAGAATGGCCGAAGCAAAAACGCAACGATAACTTCAGCCCGTTATCTATATCACCCACATTTGCCTTCCGGATCTCGCTAGCGGAGACTGTACGCCGACCAGATGGAAATATGGATGTCGGAGAGGGCTCGTTCCGTTTCCTCGCGTTAGACCCCCTTCCGAGTAATCTAAAATAGCTTCGAAATCGAGTGGACGGTTTTGAACGCTTCAAGAATATTTTGGAGGGATGAGCAATATTTTTAGAACGACTCGAATCTGAACGAGATGAGTTTGAAGGTTTTGTAAATACGAGGGTGAGAGTGAGAATGGTATTTTTAAATTTCGATTTCACTTGAATTTTTATATCGATGCAACAAACGAAAACCTTGAAAATATGTTTTTAATATTTTGTAATCGTAAGCTAGAAAGCTATGTCTTCTTTCAGTTGTTCATTGGTGTCATTTGCTTTAGAAACTTTCAAATCGTCACTCTGTGCGAGTTCATTAACACTAGATTTACAGAACCCGTCAATTTGATGGATACTGAATTTTTTAAACACTATTTAGTAACAGTTTCAGTCGATTTTGACTCGTCCAATTATGCGAATACGCATTGCAATACTTTGGTTTTGAAGCTATAATTTTCGCAATTTATATAAACGAACATGTAGTTATCTGGGAACAATAGAATAAAGTATAGAATAAACATCCGTAAATGTAGTGTTAATGGAGTACGATGAGCTGCCATGCATTTTTGTATCTGGATGTATATGTGTACGGTAAAGGTGTATCAGTGGCTGAAATCTACTGAAAATTTAAAGCACAGCACTGCAAAACGACACTGCCACAAAATAGACTGTGTCTAAATGGAACGATTCATGAATAGATGCACAAGTGAAAAGTCGAAAATTTTTTGTTGGTATCTCCGAATGAAAAGATCGATTTGCTGATTTCATCATTTGCAGGGAAAAGAATATTTTTTATTCGGGGATACTAACAAAACTGTGGTGGAGTCGCAGTCATATTTTGTTGAATAGAACACTATTTTCAAGTGTAATTAAATCACATGTATTATAATACATTTTTTCTCTAAATTTTATTCAACCCTGTTCACGAGCATATACCCAATATCGACGAATGAAGCCAACTAACCACCAATTTCTCAATTATAGCGCTAACAGTTAGCTATCCTATTTAAAAAGAAGACTTCTTCGTTCCATATGTTGATTAAGTGAAACAATTAAACGCTGCAAATGAAAACTGGTACACTAAAAAAATTCATGAATATGGAAACATCGAAGATTGAAACAAATTTCAAAATTTATCAAGTACATATCTGCAAACTCAATAAACTAATTCAATGCGAATTAAAATTTCATACCGATGTGAAATAACGTCTAACAGTGAGCTTACACGCAAACAGTGCCATCGTTTAATACCAAGTTTAATAACGAACATGAGATACAAGTAGTCATATCACTTAACTTCCAGATACCTGCAGCAATCATAAATCCGCGCATTAAAGCCCCAATAAATATGAAATCCACATAGCCCGTAGTAAACGAGAAATGGGCGCAGAACTGCGACATCGGCGGCCATCAACAGAATTTAAACCAATTCAAAACTGCGCCAGCACCTACCAGACTCTCTACGTTTCATTACCAAAAGCGACAACATATTATACGTAACATCTCTCTCATGTAACAAAAATTCCCATCCTCAAAGGGTTGATCCCATCCCCGATTCCCTTGGACCATCTTACCCAGCTCCAAGAGAGTGGCCCCGCACGCGATTCAAGTTTAAGAAAGCCGAGAGGAGAATCAGCGAGTCAGTGAACCATGCAGTCAGTCAGTCAGTCAGTCGTCAGTGGCAGCAGTTCGTGAAATCGTAGGATACTGGCTGTACGGGTTGCCACAGATCTCTGTGTATCCCTGTGTGAAGACGCAAGCGCACTCGCGCCCCTTATCGAGTTCGAGAGCAAAAGCGACGGCTGCCTTTGGTGGTAGCGCACACACCGTGCACGTCTACCCATACCGTGCATAGGAATGGTGGGATGAAAGAGAGGGATATCCGTACACTCGCGCGAGAGAAAGAGAAACGGGCAGAGAGAAAGACAGAAATAAGAGGAGTGAAAGAGAGGAGGGTAGATAGAGAGGAAAGTGGCAAACGGTGGAGGATAGAAAGAGGGGGAAACGGTCTGAAGAGGGTGGAGAGGGTTACACAGACTACGCGCAGCCCCCGAACGTTCGGAGAGAGAGGAGTGGCTAGGAGCGAGAA